TTCTACTATTTGGGTACATGGCATGGACCCTTAGGGTATGTCAACAAACAAGCTCCGGCATGACTGCGCTGCACATGATGATGGTGACAGTCGTGACTGCCCTACTTCTGACTCGTACTCTGCCCCACGTGCTGTACAGACCCAGGCTCATAGAATTCATGCAGCCGAACTACAGCTATTTAGGAATCCCGCCCATACAACAACTATGAACAAAGAATCGGCTATTCCTAATATTGTAGAGTCGCATGATGTCGCATACACTCCAACTTAACACGACCTTGTTCCATTCGTAAAGCCTTTCTCTCGCACGCTCCCGGCAGTGTATCTCAAGTACGGAATGCCCAACATAACACAAGCACTTCTAGTAGGGAGGCCCAAAACCCTCAACCCTGAACCGTGGCTACTCCCTACATATCTGACACCGTCTGCTGTGACTCGCCGCAGCGCCTTAGCTCGGACATGGATCTGTGGGGCCAGCCTATCGAGTCGTACACCCGATTACAGGGTTTAGGGCTTACCCTAAGGGTCCATGTACCCAAATAGTAGAACATTGGCCCTAAAGTACCCATATAGGGACTACATTAAGGCCAATGTTCTACTATTTGGGCACATGGACCCTTAGGGGAAACAAACCCACCTACTGCCTTCGCAGACTAAATCGACCCCTTCGCTGCCCCTATAAGCCCCACGACAGCAAACGCCATGCCGCAAACTCAGGTTCTGTACAGCGTCAATTCGCTTTGGCCGATGTGGGCAGGGATCCGGTCCGGCTGAGTTTAACTCTACAAGGATGGCGTAGGGTTGTTTCAACTTTTTGTGTCGCGCGGGAAACACACATCTTATAGAACACCACCATATCTAAACACATCTACACATAAACACACCTGAATATACATATAAGTATATATACCGGGACAGTGAAGTCTTCCTGCACCTGCATGGAACTCCGGATGTTCTGCCAAAAGCAACGGCGCCCGCAGCCAAAAAGGCGGGGCTCGCTATCCCTATAAGGGTCCATGTGTCCAAATAGTAGATCCTTTGGCCTTAAAGCAGTCCCTATATACAGGGCCAAGGGATACATGCTATTTGGGCACAGGGACCCGTAGGCATCGACGGCAAACTAAATAGCAGTCACAGCTTTGGGGCTTCCCCTGCATCGCTAGAGAACTTTTGCCTACAACCTTCCAGGCTTGTTTGACTTGATCTGTATAATGGGTTTAGGGTTTAGGGGTTTAGGTTTTAGGGTATCGGGGCTTAGGGTTTAGGGGTTTAGGGTTTACGGTATCAGGGTTTAGGGCTTAGGGTTGGAGAACAGCTGCTCAGGGTCATTAGTGCACTTTCAAGCCTGGTGACTGTAGCAACAACGGCGCAGCGGACCAACACTGGGAGCATGTTAGAAGTACTTGTCTCTGTAGAACCTGTCCGGGTCAATCCCGGAATGATGCAACGAATGAAATGCACTGCAGTCTATTCCCTAAGCCCTACGATCTGCTTGTAACCCTGAACCCTGACGCTGGGAAGCCGGAATACCCCCGTGACTTGCTTGTACGTTGCTGGGCCAGTGTCGGACTCTGGCTATGGAGGCACCTGCCGATTCGCATGCTCGGGCTACACGGACGATGTGTGCCTTTGGGCTATGGATGGGTGGGTCGAACACAACCGTATCCCAGACTCCAGGGTTGATTCAAGTCTCTACAGTATATCTTCAAGATTGAGGTGACATGAACTTGTGCTTGGAGAGAACGGTCGTGCTCTTTGGGAGCAGGAGCTGAATACCAAAACAGACGGCGCATGAAAGACGAGGCGGAGACTTCTCTGACTGAAGCTCAAGTATGAGAAGAGGACAGCTTTCACCGCAATGTCACAAGAGCGGTCCTCATGACACAAACCATCAGAATCAACAACACCAGCAGCAGCGACCGCAGCATCACCACAGCCGACACCCTCACCGTCAGACGGGCAATGCTTAATCATTGCAAGCGTTCGGGCCAACATCATCACCATCAGCATGCAACATCTTAATCATTGCCAGTGATCATAAACACCTCCTATACTCACCATGAAAACAAGCACCAGCGCGGCCAACATACTTCCGGCACCACTATCAAACAGCGGTCCTCGACAGTTGCTTGCTTTGGCACAACACTACACGGTAAAGACCAAGGTGAGCCCGCAAAATGCCATGAACAACACCACCAACACGAACAGCGCCACCAGCCCCGCCAGCACGGCCAGCACCACCACCACAACTGTTACTCTCACCATCACCGCCTGCAACAAGACCTCGCCGCAAGTGGCGCTTCACATCTACAACAATCCGTTGAAGCCGCATCACTCACAAAAGCACCGGACTTCTGCGCATGAACGTCCAGGAAAACCCACAACTGCACCTCCCCATCGGGCCGCGTTCGCCAGCAGACTGGCTTACAGCAGCATGCCTGTGAAGACAAGGGGCGATGCCAGACTGCAACCAAAAGTTTGCCAGCAATTCCAGCTCAAATCCGGTCAACCCTGTAAGCGTCCCTAAGCCATCAGTCCACTCGGCTGATTCGAACAAATACTCTATCAAGGAGGTCGGGTGAACGTCTCCACCCTTGAACAGGTAAGTCACTCCATCAGTATAGCTGACGAGACGATATGCATCCGCAAAGCAAACCAAAACTTGTGGGTTCTTTTTTGCGGGAGTCTGCGCAACTACCTCTAGAGTCTCCATTGTCGTTCCTTTTGGTTGGGATACCTTTTCAGATCCTGACTATAGGAACGAGTACAGCGGAACTCCAGACCTTCTCTTGGATGCACTCCTCCGTCTCTTTGCATATCTCCGGTTCCTGCCGAGGTTGCGGATCGAGGGTTCGGGGTATAGGTTCGTGCATGTTTAAGGATCAGCTCGTCCTACAGAAGCTCACGCATGCAGTCACTTGTCAATCCATGCATGCACTACGGATATGGATGGGCGACACCTGCCTGGCTGCCTGCCTCCAACTCATCCAAGCAACTGCATTGCACAACCGGGGAGTGCATCGGCAAAAAATAACAAGACCACGAAAGTCAATGCGAGGTACAGGCTGGAGGCCCTTCTGACATACTACCCGGCAAATTGGCCCTAAGCTTATTATTATTCCATTGTTGCTGTTTCAAACAAGTATTCTTCGCATTATGCCTACCGTGTTCGTATTGTTATTGTAAGTCGCTGAAAAGCATGACAAGCGCCTAAAGAGCTGCTGTAGACCGGGATTCACAAACCCGAAACTTGAGTCAGGCTCTCCAGACCGTTCGGACCAGAGCAGTTCAGGCATGCCTGGGCAGCGATCTGTTTGCAATCACTCGTGATTTATTGCATGGACTTAAGGCTTGGAATTGTACGGTTCAGGGTGTAGGTGAAACACCTTCCCCAAATCCTCAGTGCAAGGGCTCATAGCTCGTTAGGGCACTCTCCAATCATAACTTTCAAGGACGACACATGACGGTAAGTCGTAAACCACATGAGCCGCGAGTGCCCAGGCTTGCTACAAATTTCGGCTTCCGAGAATGACATAATGAGTGGGTCAAACACCACTAGCCAACAGCCAGAAGAACATGATGTACTTGATGGCAAAACGTAGAAAGACAGATGATGCATACCTAACAGCATATAACACCATCATAAATTTGACAACAACAACAACATCAACGAAAACGACGGCAGCTCGACCTGCTCCTGCTGCTTGCCACGAGTCACTATCACGACAATACTTTGTGGTTGCCCCTTCTTCATCAGATCTTCGAACTCCGGGATCCTCACCTCTAATCCCTGAATGGATCCTGAACCCTAACCCAAAGGAACCCTAAACCCTAAAAGGATCCTGAACCCTAAACCCTAAAGGGATCCAGAACCCAAAACCCTAAAGGGATCCAGAACCCTAAACCCTGAACCCTAAACTCCTATCTTCAAAGACCCCTGAGACGCTAGGCTGGAGTGAGATCTGCAAAGTGACACCACCACTTGGCCTCCGGAGATTGCGTGGGGTTTTAGGGCTTCGGGCGTGCGGCTTCGGTTCTCGTGATGATGTAGTCTTGGGGACTTAATAATTAGAATAGGGTTTTCGGGTATATTATACTAACACCATAATAAGGAACCCCCAAGATAGGATTGGCAATTGTTTTGGTCCTTATACTAAGGGCTAAACCTTTCTTGAAAAAGTTCATCGATCATGCATCAAGGGTTCACATGGCCGGAGACGGAACAGGGGACGGTCCACAGTGCAGGTGACCCGAGAATCCAACTTCAAAGCCATCGACGATTCACTCGGCTATGCGTATTAAGAACTTGAGGATTCGGGCTCTAACAACAGCGCCACGTACAAACAATCATCGGTTTGCCACGCGGCGCCTCGGAACTACGTCACAACCCTTCGATGCAGAATTTGAAGGGTACCAGTACACAGGCTGCGTCCTGGGGAGGGAGGGGTCCATGAAGGCTTTAGGGATCGAGGCTGGCATAGAAACACATCAGCATAAGCACTACGAGCTCTACTCAGACTCTACTCTACTACACCTCGTAGTGAACCGAAATATTCTCCTCCTTCCCAAACACAGTGCTGAACGAAGCGAGATCCCAAAGCCCCATCCTGAAACAAGCTGGACACACTACCACCCTAAACCCTAAGCCCCTAAACCCTAAAACCCTAAACCTCTAAAACCCTAAACTCTAAAACCCTAAACCCCTAAACCCTACACTCTAAACCCCTAAATCCTAAACTCAAAAAGCCCTAAACCCTAAACTCTAAAACCCTAAACCCTAAGCCCAAAAACCGAACCCTAAGCCCAAAAACCGAAACTCTAAACTCAAAAAACCCTAAACCCTAAACCCTAAGCCCAAAAACCGAAACCCTAAACTCAAAAAACCCTAAACCCTAAACCCTAAGCCCAAAAACCGAAACCCTAAACTCAAAAAACCCTAAACCCCTAAACCCTAAGCCCAAAAACCGAAACCCCAAACCCGAAATGCCGCGATGCTGAGCCTCCTGAACTTCCCTTTCTGCCTCGTCCTGCTACGGTTCCGGGGTAGGGTTTAGGGTTTAGGGTTTAGGGTTTAGGGGTATAGGGTTTAGGGTTTAGGGTTTAGGCGTTAGGGCTTAAGTAGGGCTCGAGTGGCCCAGGTGTGCAGTTTGGGAGTTTCAGTGGCTGAACACTCCAAGCAAGCAGAGGCCATTTCGGCGTATGCGCAGTTGCCACTTCGGGCCTTTTGGATTGTCAGTGTTATCTAGGGTTTCTGCTTTAGGGTTTTGGGGGGCCAGCGGTTAGGGGGGCCTTGCTCTTTGCACGTTTGCTGGACAAAGGCAATGAAGCTGTGGATTGGGCTTAGGGTGTAGGGTTTAATAAGGGTTTAGGGAACTGGCCCCTACGGCCACTTAACGCAAGACATGAAACTGTCATGGCCCTGGAACCTAAAGCGTACCTTAACCTAACAGTACCCGGCTCTTGTAGGGTCCCTATAGATTCTATACTGATACTAGGGCTTCGATATTAACATGCAACAACATAGTTCTTGAAAGTTCAAAGTAAGCCTGATAGAACCCGTGTCGTCCTCCGGCAGAACAGGCTCTTTCAAAGGCACAGGAGGTTGGAGCTCCTGCTATGCGAAGCACATTTCATGGGTCCTTGGGGTTTAGGGTTTAGGCCTCAGGGTCCATATAGGGTTTAAAGGGTTGGAAGCTGTGGAGCAAGGAAAAGAGTCATTGCATGCTCAACACTGCGCTACCCATGCTATCCTTCAATATGAGAATCTACAACCCTAAGGGTCCATGTACCCAAATAGTAGAACATTGGCCCTAAAGTACCCGTATAGGGACTACATTAAGGCCAATGCTCTACTATTTGGGTACATGGACCCTTAGGGCGAGCTTCTGATTTCAGGCTGGGCCGCCGGGAATCCATAGTCATACGGATGCTTCCCGGAAGCCTGCGACCGGCAAAGCTCGAGCAAGACGTTACCCTAAGGGTCCATGTACCCAAATAGTATATACTTGGGCATTAAAGTAGTCCCTATATAGGTACTTTGGGCCCAAAGTATATACACAGAGGCTTACAAAGACATATTGGCAGCTTCCAGAGCCTCAACCTCGGGTTTTGTGAGCCAGGCCAGAATTCGCCATGTCAGCTGAAAGAGATATGTCTACCTCTATCTATTGTTAGTCTTGAATGTGCTGAGAAACGGAGGGAGAGAGAGAGAGAGAGAGAGAGAGCGAGATGGAAGAGCAGCAATAGCATTGAATACGGAGCGCGCTGACTCCCGAGATCCTTGGTTCCGGCCGGTGGAGTTTCACAGGCTTTGATGAAACCCTCAAACATCCTAAATCCGTCTAAAACCCATGGAGCACAAAAAAGTAAAGGTGCACAAAAGGACACCAAACGTCGGCTTCCTTGGGTGCCGAAGGCAGGTCTGGCACCTGCAGTTGCGTCTTTCCTGAGCTCTTGCAGACGTGCGAGGTCTTGCAGAAACCTTACTTGCATGTTCATGGGGAGCTGAACGTACGGTCTCGAGCAAGGCAACCGCACAGTGAAACGTTTAAAGGACTACCCATAGGCCCCATAGTAGTTCCTTTTTGGGAATACCTTATAGGATTCTAAATATGAACCACAAAAAGGAGCTTCTATGGGGCCTATGGGTAGAAACGATATCCGGTGACCCTCCGAGGAGCTCTGAGGCTCTCCAGCTATGCTTGCACTGAATGCAAGGGTAGCGGGTTTAGGGTATAGGGTTTAGGGTTTAGGGTTCAGGGTTTAGGGTTTAGGGTTTAGGGTTCAGGGTTCAGGGTTTAGGGTTTAGAGACGGTTCCCACCAGCTTTTTGCAATCAAGTCTCGGTCCCTGCTTTCGGACTCAAACTTGTAGTGGTTCAACTCCTTCAGTGCAGCCTTGGAAGCAGGACGATTCATCCAATCAAAGCCCTAACCCTCCAGGCACCTACTAAAAAGGGTACTAGAGCTCCTAGGGCCCTATACAGTAGGTACTTGGAGGGTTAGGGAAGAAGTAGGAGCCGGGGTAGGTCTCGGAATTGCAGCAGTCTTCGTGTAGTTTTTTTGCCACAGTAGCGGTGATACTTGATTACCGTCGTCGCACCGAAAAGAACAAACACGGCCAACAGCAAACACTGGCAGCAACTGTCGTCATCTTCGCCGTCGTCGTCGTGGCTGTGGTGGCGGCGTCGGTGGGAGTAGTGAGCAGCAGCAGCAGCAGCAGCAGCAGCAGCAGCAGCAGCAGTAGCAGCAGCAGCAACAGTCTTCAGTGCAGTTGTCGTAGCCACGGCGTAGAAATCGGAGCTGAACCCAAGCAATAGAAACGGCAGCAGAAAC